CATCAGCTTACGTAGTTGGTAAAGGAACACTATTCTAAATTACTAATATTTTGTTTTTATAGGCTGTTTGCTGTTTTGTGGATTTTGTGCTTGTCAGGAATCCTGAAGGTAAGTTGTTTTTAAAATAGTAACTTGAAATATAATTCTGGCCATGTCAGTATAAATAATCTCAAAAAGCTGTTAGAGGTACTCTTATGATAGGACACTTAGTTATAATTATCTGGAACATTTGTATACAGAATGATTAAAAAATTATCTTAAAAAAAATCAAGGTCTTATGTTAATATTATCGATTAAAAGGAAGATGAACATATGACTTAAATTACAGAGAAAGAGGCCCTCACTTGGAACTGCTAACCTCCCAGTGGCACATATAATTCTGAAAAAGAAATATTTTTTTTAAAATAATTTATATTTGGAATGTTACTGTTCGAAGTTGTGGGTAATTTAATAGAAAGGAGGATATCCATTGATTCATCCATTCATCCTTTCATCCAACAAAAATGAGGATGGACCTGCCTTGCCTTTTTCTAATTTTAACATTTGCATTCCAAGTTGTAAAGCATTAAATATGTATATAGCATATATAACTCAAGAGCAAGTAACTTAAGTATGCTTAATACAGTTCTTAAATATAAACTGATTAATTTCTTGCCTATAGTTATTTTTCTATAATCAAACAATGGAGTTGATCTTGGCTGCTGTGGGAGCCCTGCTTTTCTGTGGATTCATCATCTATGACACACACTCATTGATGCATAAGCTGTCACCTGAAGAGTATGTATTAGCTGCCATCAGCCTCTACTTGGATGTCATCAACCTATTCCTGCACCTGTTGCGCTTTTTGGAAGCAGTTAATAAAAAGTGATTGAAAGCAGTATATGGAAACTGATTGATTAAGTAATAAAGTTTGAGATATAATTATTAAATACTTTTGTGACTTTCTTCGTATGGTATGTACTTCTGAGCTATTATATAGTATACTAGTAATATCTGTATTACTATTGTATAAAAGTGATTATAATAATAATTCTGATTATATGTAATATATATTATATTAAATATGTGATATAATTAACTAGATTATATACTAATAATATAAATCTTACTATTCTTTATGGTATCTCATTTCTAAATCCTTGATTTAAAATCTCAGGAGATATCAAAATTCTGTTTTTCAGTTTTTTCAATCCTAAATTTGCCATGTGTAGATTGTTCATCTGCAGTTCAAAAATAATTTCATGAGTAGATTAGACGGTCAGTTTAATCTGTGACTAGTGATTTTATCTAAATTTTTCCTTTAAAGTACTTGTGTCCTTATCATTATAAAGTATAAATTTCCTTCTACTAGAAGATTTTGATCTTATTTATTATTTAGAAAGGAAAAAGTGTAAAAGGTAAATTCCATCGAATTATTCAGCATTATAATAAAATGTTAATGACATTTCATTATACAATGATGAATTAAAAATGAGATGTCTTCTTGAAAGTCAGGTATTTTGACATAAAACATGACATTATTAGTTTTTTTTAAGTACAGGTTCCATATAAAAATTATAGCAGTGGCCAAGCAAACTTTTGCAAATGCCTTCACTGTATTAGTTTGCTAGGGTGCCATAACAAAGTACCACAGACTGGGTGGCTTAAACAGAAATTTATTTCCTCACAGTTCTGGAGGCTAGAAGTCTGAGATCATAGTATGGTTTCTTCTGAGATCACTCTCTTGGCTGGTAGATGGTCATCTTCTCCCCGTTTTTACATGGTTTTCTCTCTGTACTTGTCCCGTGTCCAAATTTCCTCTTCTTACAAGGACACAAGTCATATTGGATTAGGGCCTACCCTAATGACCTCATTTTACCCTAATTACCTCTGTAAACACCCTGTCTCCAAATATGGTCACATTCTGAGATACTAGGGCTTAGGACCTTGTAATAGTCTGAATGTTTGTTGTCTCCCATCCCCATTCCCAATTCACATGTTGAAACTTAATGACCAGTGTGCTAGTATGAGGAGGTGGGGCTTCTGGGTCATGCTTAGGTCATGAGGATGGAGCTTTCATGAATGGGATTAGTGCTCTTACAAAAGTGACCCCACAGAGATCCCTCACCCTTTCTGTCACATGAGGTAACAGTAAAAAGATACAATCTTCAAACGAGGAAAAGGGCCTTTAGACACTGAATCTGCCAGCACCTTGATCTTGGACTTCCTAACCTCCAGAACTGAGAAATAAATTTCTGTTGTTTATAACTACCCAGGCTCTAGTATTTTGTTATGGCAGCCCAAATAGACTAAGACAGACTTCATCATATGAATCTCGGGGGGCACAACTTGGCCCATAACACCCACTAAGCATCATTCCCTAGCTATTAAGTTGAAATAAATTAATAATATAGATTTAGCCTTTGGTGAGTTTTAGATGTAAAATTGACTCCATCCTTATCAATTAATTGTTGAATACTTAGTTGCATGATGCTCAACTCAAGTTTAACATAGTATAGTGGGTGAGAGCATTTAAATTGGAATCCTTGCTGTGCAACCAACTGATGATGTGACTTTTGGCAAGTTATTTATCCTTTCTTAGGTCTTTTGCCTCATCTTTATAATAGGAATCGTAATACCTACCTTATTGGATTATTATAAGGATTAAATGAGATGGATATGTCATTTAAACTAAGTGCTTAGTTAATGTCAGCTACTATTAATTCTTGTTGGCAGTCCAAAGGCAGAAGGCGCTGAATTGTGACTAAAGATAATAAGCAAAAACAGATGTGACATTTAAAAAATGTAAAACAATGCCATTCTTTTCAGTAAATTAGTTTTTGGTTTGGAAAATAGTTTTTTAATAAAAGTAATGTAGACATGTAATTCATTTATCCTTTTTAAAGGACTTAAATAAAATTTTAAAAATTGTTTTAATTTCTGATATGACAAGTGTTGTAATTTCTAAGATTGTAAAGAGATCACAAGACCAAGAAGTTTGAAAACCACTGATGCAGACTATTATATTTTATCAATGAACCATAATTATTCATACCTTTTCCTGTCGAAGAATTTTATATGGTTCCTTCTTTTTTACTGGCAAAATCAGTGCTGCTCTGTTTGTCCCTGTATGTGTCCTAGTGTGCAGAGATAGGAGTTTGCCTAGATAGGGGAATATACCTAGAAGCAGAATTGCTGGATAAAAGGGTACATACAACTTCAGTTTCTTATAACAAGTAAAGGTGAAAATATGCGGACTCCAGAAATATATTAAGAAGTAGAATTAGCAGGACTCAGAGTGATCGGCAACTCCATATGCAAGGTACAAAGTATAGCCAGAGGTAAGAGGAAAACAGAAAGAGCAGTATCTGAGAATTGTTTTTACGGAATGTAATTTTGGGAAAGAAGCAGTGGGCTCTGTCTGCCTGCGTACATTTTTTTTTTCTGCAGGCCTCCTCACACCAGGGCTTTGATCCACTTGATGCACTTTGGGGAATTAGTGGTGGCAGCAGCCAGCTGTGGGCCTTGGAACTAGCTGGGAATTTTGCTTGTTCATCTTTGTAGAGCTTTGCCTTGAAGTCCTCACCACCTAGAGCCTGGACAACATGGGGTCACCGTCTGAATCCCAGAAGCCTTTGTAGTTCTCGGTGATTATTCAGGTTGGGCGTTCCATGGGAGAGCCCTGACTGCAGAGGCCCTACTGGCTGGTGCTTGTTGTGAAGCATGCCTTTAAGGTGGGGAACCAGTGCACTTCTAGTCAGGTATTCAGTGCTACCCACTGTGCCTCCTGTCCCAGGGGCTTCTTCCAGTTCGGTGAGGGAGCTGAAGCAATGTTCTGTGTGACTTTTAAGCCTGGTCCCTCCATCAGGGGCTAAAGTTTCCTGAAGCCGGTAATTTAGTTTCAGTCATCTTTGTATACCCAACCTAGAGCCTATCACAGAGTGCAAGAAAGACCAAGAAAGAATTCTTGAGACCTCTTTGGTGCAAAATGGTGGTTTTATTGAAGGATGGGGACAGGACCTGTGGGCAGAAAGAGCTGCTGCACCTGGGTCTTGAGGAGTGGTGATTATATACTCTGGAGTTGTGGTTAGTAAGGAAAAGGGAGGTTTCTTTTTTTTTTTTTTTTTAAAGGGAGGTTTCAAAAGAACTTTGATATGCTAAAGAGGATGGACCTCCAAGATACCTGTAAGATACCAGAGGTCTTGCCATTGTCAAGTTAAGGTTCTTTTCCCCTCTAGCAAGGTATTAACATTAAGCCAGGAGATTCCTGGAAGAATATCACACATGTCCCACCCAGGAGTGGGGGGTGGGGGGAGGTTGCAGGGTGTCAGCTTATGCTTTGTCCTCAGCCTGCCTTTCGCCTCCTCATCAGTTTTGACAAATGCGTACATTCATGAGATCATCACCCCAGATAGGAAAATTTAAGGGCTTCAAGTAAAGATTTCAGTTCCGATTCTCCAGGAACACGGGATCTGGGATGATTCCGTCTTAGGAAATCCATGAGTACCGTGTGAACCGTGATGCAGGACCTGAGATGTAAAGGTCAACTCTGAGCTCACTACTTGGCAGGCAGGGTCACCTGGCCAGGATCGCTCTTGGGGTTAGAGCGTCGGAGCTAACCGGCTCACGCACAACGCCCCCCCGCTATTTTCCTCATTGTCCAAATCCCCCTTGGAAACCCATAGGGGAGGAGTCAAGCTCCAAAGTCGCACTGCCATCAAAGGAAGTACGTCAGCGCCAGACTCCAGAAGGCCCCGCCTCTCAAGGCTTTCCGGGGCATCTTGGCTCCCGGCGTGCAGTGCGCCCGCCCGGGACTCCCAGGAGTTTGTGGGAGGGGCTGCCCGGAAGGCGGAAGTGCGGAGGCTTCCGGTCAGCGTGGTTCTGAGTGCGGCGTCTGGGTTTCCCGGTGAGTTCGCTGATTCCCGGTCTAGTGGGGAATGGAACTTGGCGCTCGATCCCGCCGTCCGTAGAGAATCTTGTCTCAAGCCTGGTCGCTCTCTGGGTAAGATTGAGCCCGGCGGAGACGCACACCTGCTTCAGGGACGAGGGTCTCCCGTGGTCTTGGTGGTGGCCCCCGGGCTTCCCTGTGCTCTGTGCGTGGTGGAGCCCTCCTTCTTCGGTAGTCTCGCTCAGGTTAACCTGGGCCCTCAAGATTGTTGTTTACCTCAGCCCTTCTATCCTTGCCCCTCGAAGTTTTGGGTTGTTGTAGACAGGGGAACAGAGTGAGTTGTGATGGGCGTCCAAAAACTGTAACTCCACTAGTTATCCGTTCAACAAAAGCACACTGCATTGGGGCATCCCACGGTGAACAAGGTGTATTTAGTTAGTCCCTGCCTTCGTGGAGCCCACAGTCCACCGGGGATGACAGAAAATAAAGTAAGTAACTTCAGATTCCTATTTAAAAGGAAAGAAAAGGATGATATGGTGAATAAAGGAGGGGAGTCTATAGGGGTGGGGGTCAGAGAAGCCCTCTCTGAGGTACTTAAGCGAAGGAGCAAGCGTTAGGAAGACCATTCCCAGGCATAGGAGCAGCAAATTGGAAAGGTGCTAAAGTGGCCGTAGTTTGGACTTTAAAATTTTTCTTTCTTTTTTTCCAAAATCATGTCTTAATGTTTTATTTAACTGCTTGATTGTGTATAATAAATTGCACATGTTTAAAGTGTGTAATGTAATTTTTGATATTTGTATACAAACATCCATCAGCATAATCAAGATAGTGTCATAAATCACTCCCAAAAGCCTTCCTCCCAACCCTTTATAATACCTGCAATTCCTTCCCATTCCTTCTCACATCCCGTAATGTCCCTAGGTTGTCACTGATTGAACTTTTTTCAGATGTAATTGGTACTTGGGGATGGGATGGAGCTTGGAGCATGAGGTGTGACAGTTGAAGGAGGCAGGGCTAGGTCACAAATAATCTTGTAGATCATGAATATGAGGTGGGATATCATTAAAGAATTCCATGAAAGGATGAAAAGTTCTAAGTTTTTAAAAGCTTACACTACGGGCACCTGGGTGGCTCAGTTGGTTAAGCATCCAACTCTTGATTTCAGCTCAGGTCATGATCTCAGGGTTGTGAGCATGGAGTCTGTTAAGATTCTCTCTCTCTCTCTCTCCCTCTCCCCCCACCCCCTGCTGGCACTCTCAGTCTCTCCCTTAAAAAAAAAAAAATTAAAAGCTCATACTAACTGCCATATGGAGTATTCAGGGCTGAGGCTAAGGGGTGAAGAACAGCAGGAGTGGAAATAGGTAAGTTTAAAATAGCTACATTGAGTTAAGGGGAGGATAATGAGGAAGACAGGTGGCATGTCCTATAGGCTTCGAGGAAATCAAGTGTAAAAACATTTGGGGGGCATGGGTGGCTCGCTCATTTAAGTCAGACTCTTGATCTTAGCTCAGGTCTTGATCTCAGGGTCCTGAGTTCAAGCCCACGTGGAGCCTACTTAAAAAATACAAAGAGAACCCCATGAAAAAACAAAAGCAACCATTTTGTAATTTGAAGTTGTTGCATAAATATGAAGTGGTAATGCTCTTTGCATTTGGGGGGAAATTAAATTTCTGCATCTTGTGTGGAAACTCCAGGAGCTTTCAGAATTGGCCTGACTTATTGTTTGCCAGCGACCATAGGGAGTTTGATTGGGTGCTCTTGTTATTTAATGGCTGTATATGCCATGTTGACCCTCACATAATTTGTCCATTATGCCATCATAAATCATGAACAGAGTGAAGAGTTTTACTTTCCGTTTGTTCATGTTTTGTAGAGATACCTTTGACCTGGTTTTCCAAGGATTTGCCCTTTTTTTTTAATAGTAAATTTTTGCTTTTGTATATGTATTTCTGTTAGCTTTTCAGGTAAAATATGGCTAAAAGCTTACGGAGTAAGTGGAAAAGGAAGATGCGTGCAGAAAAGAGAAAAAAGAATGCCCCGAAGGAACTCAGCAGACTTAAAAGTATTCTTAAAGTAGATAGTGATGTTTTAATGAAAGATGTTCAAGAGATAGCAACCGTGGTGGTACCCAGACATTGTCAGGAGAAAACTCAATGTGTGGTACAAGATGAAAAAGGTGAGTTTATGTGCTTCATTTTAAAAATAATAATTCTATCAGTTTCCTTTTGTGACTCTTTTTTTCCCTCTTTGACTGTCCTCCGATCTTTCCTGCACGTGATTCTATGCTAAGCTATTTTAAAGCCAGTTCACGTGAGTAGGCATGTTTTGGATTATTCAGGGTGTGCCTTTGGTGCTTATACAAGAGCCTGAGTGTCTCAGAAGTGCATAGTACAACAGCAGTAGACAAACGTAGATGCAGCCTCATTGGAAGGATACTCTATTCAGTCAGGGACTAGGCAAGATAGGAGATCTTTCTTCATTTTATCCTTTGCAACATCTAGTTCCCATTCAGAAAATCCTTATATGCCATTACATTATTTTCCTGAAAATTCAGAGTTTCCCTGTGTTCAATTTTGACAGATTCTAGATACCTCTGTCTTAATCATAGTCTGCAGTTGGAGGCTGTGTGTAGTACTAGTTTCAGCACGGGAAGAGGCTCCTTGGGTTTCACATCCTATAACCGTTTGGCAGCAAACTGAAATAAGTGCGCATAATAATCAGGCTCTTAAAATAGAAGTATATTTATGTGGGGTCCAAGGAAGAGAGCAGCGACCCTCAGCCTTCCAATCGGAGAAGTTTTCCCTCTTGGCTGATACTCTCTCAAAGGCCAGTTTCTCCATTTGTGTTCTGAATTCTCTCCATTCTCAAGGGCTGTGCTCATGCATCCTGCTTATCAATCTCTTTTCACACTGGGTCATTCAAATGGCATGGATGTGTTCCGGAATGTCCCTTCTCAAAAAAAGAAAGAAAAATCCTTCCCTTGATCTCACATTTCTCAGTCTGTTGCTTTATTTCAGCTCTCCTTGAAACTTCTTAACACTTGTGTCTCTGTTTCCTCATATGTACACTGCCTCTGCCCATTTGCTCTTTTTTTTTGGTCATTGAGGTAAAAGTCACAACCTAAAATTAATCATTTTAATGTATACAGTTAGTAGTATTTAGTACATTGATGATGTTGTCCGACTATCACCTGTTTCCAAAACATTTTCATCACCTTAAAAGGAAACTGTACACATAAAACAGTCTCTCTCTTCCTTCCCACAGTCTCTGGCAACCAACCACTAATGTGTTTTCTGTATCTATGGATTTACCTATTCTGGATATTTCATATAAATGAAATCATAACATGTGGCCTTTTGTGTCTGACTTCTTTCATCTACCGTAATGTTTTTGAGGTCCATCCATGTTGGAGCATGTATCAGTACTTCCTTCTTAGGGCTGAGTAATACTCCAGTTGATGTACATACCACATTTTGTGTATCCATCCTTTGGTGGATGGCTCTTTGGGTGGCTTCCACCTTCTGGCTGTTGTCAGCAGTGCTGCTGTGGGCATTTGTGTACTTACTCTTGTTTGAACACATGTTTTCAGTTCTTTTGGGTTTGTCCCTTTGAATGCAATTGGCTAGGTCATTTGATAATTCTGTTCACTGGTTTTTATATCAGGCATGCCATTTTACATTCCCACCAGCAGTGAATGAGGGTTCTTCACATCCTCGCCATACTTGTTTGTTTGTTTGTTTGTTTCTCCTTTCTTTTTTTGGGTAATTGCCTCATCCTACAGGGTGTGAAGTAGTGCTTGTGGTTTTGATTTGCATTTCCTTAGTGACTAATGCTGTTGAACATGTTTTCGTATGCTTGTTGGCCATTTGTATATCATCTTTGCAGAAAGATCTTTTCAAGTCCTTTGCCCGTTTTTAAATTGGATTCTTTGTCTTTTTGTTGAGTTCTAGTGGGAGTTCCTTATATATTCTGGATGCTAGATGCCTATTCACTTTTGAGTCTTAGATTTATTCTCTAGTTTTCTCTCCTGCTTTCTGTTTTCTCTTGTTACACTTTCTGATTTTTATAGCTTTGTTATCTATTTGTTATATTGATTTGTTTAGTTTTGCTATGGTATTTTTAATTTCTGAAAGTTCTTTTTTTTCTTCTTTCTTTGTTATAGCCTGAGGTTCTTAATGGATATATCTTCTCTGATCTCATTAAGGGTATTAATTATAGTTTGAGAAATTTCGATCTACTCTATGCATTGTCTATTCTCTTGAGTTCTTCCCCGAGTGCCCACCTTCCATTCCATTATTTTTGTCTTTCTCTTTCATGTTGGAGGCTTTCTCCAGTATCTGGTGATCAGTGGTTGTTTATATTTAAAAGTAAAGCACTAGATGATGAATGGAAGCCTTCCAGGGAGGGGACAAGGTGTGGGGGAGGGCTTATCAGCTGTTAGACTTGCAGAATGATTGGACTGAACCTAGGTGGTTTTGTTGTGGAGGATCTATATCAGAAACTAGATCTCTTCTCTTCTGTCATCATCCTCAGAGAGGAATTCTCTCATTTCCTGCCCATGTCCATGTCTGGCTACCCTCCTTCTTGGAGTTTTTCAGGAACTCAGTAGGGATGGAACTAAGGGTGAGGGAGTCTCTCCATTTAGTAATCCACCTGTTTTCAATATGGTTGCTCATCTCTGCCCTCAGGTTTGCGTTTCCCCTTATTTCATTTTCTCAATGAGTTTCGTAAGCCACAAACCTAGTAGTTACCTTGATCTCTTTTCCCTTTATCTCCCACCTCTAAACCATTAGCACATCTTTAATACCTCCAAAATACAGCAGGAATCTGTCCATTTTCCTCCTCCTTTCATGTTTGCACTTTAAGATGACCATTATCCCTTGCCTGAACGAAGATAATAGCTTTTTTACTTCTCTCTTCAGCTCTCGCTCCCTTTCGATTCATTTTTGACATATCAACCAGTATAATATTTTTGGAATGTAAGGCAAGTGATGGCATTCCCTTGCTTAAAACATCTCATTGTCTTTCCATGTGCTCATCAGAGCCTACCAGGTCCTACTTAATCTGGTTCTGGTGCTTTTTTAAAAAAATCCACTTAACACAGGCTACAGTTTGCTTTGTTATGCGCCCTTCAATAGAACGTCGTAAGCTCCATGACAGCAAGGAGCACATTTGGACCCTTGTATTCCCAGAACCTAGAACAGTACCTAACAATCATTCAACAACTAGTTATTGAATGGCTGATATATAGCAGGCACTGTTCTAGGCACTGAGGAAACATGATAAATATAGGAGAAATGGCCTCCATCCTGATGGGATTTACATATCAGAGGAGACTAAAAGTAAACCAGATAAATGAATTAATATAATGTCAGGCAGTAGAGATCATGGAAGATTCCGTATACCCTGGTAAGTTCCCAGGGAGGGACATTCCGGGAAACATTCACAGCAGATAAGGTTGGTGATAGATGTACCGCAGCATGGCTGCACTGAACTTCCTGCCAGGTCTTCTGTTGAGTGGAGCTGGATCTCTGGGTGTCACCTGGGTAAGAAAGAGTGGCAGCCCAGTGTGTATCCTTCCTTTCTTTTCTTTCCTCTCTTTCCTTTCCTTCCTTCCCTTCTTTTCTTTCATTTCGTTTTGTTTCATTTTTAAGTAAACTCTACCCCCAATGTGGGGCTCAGACTCATGACCCCAAGATGAAGAATCACATGCTCTACCGACTGAGCCAGCCAGGCGCCCCTATATCCAGGTTTTCTTTTTTTTTTTTCCTTAAAGTTTTTATTTAAGTAATCTGTACACTCAACATGGGGCTTGAACTCAGGATCCTGATGAGTGGCATGCTCCTCAGACTGAGCCAGCCAAGCCCCCCCATCCAGGTTTTTCTTCGTCATCTGCCCATCTCTGTCATCACAAGCTTGTTGCTTACTGCTCCACTTCTTCCAAGTACACTTCTTTGGAAGTGGCCAGCCATTCCTAGTACTTCATTTGCTTCTAAGGCCTGTCCATTAAAAGCGTCGTTGCTCTTAGTAGGCTCAGCTGTCTTATTTAGCTCAAGAAACACTTAATCTGAGAAATGTTCTTCTGACTCACAAATGCTCACAGCCATACACTTACCCTTCATGCAGTGACTCAAACCCATACATCCTAAATGTATATTTCCTGTTTAACTTTTACTATTCCAAAAATGGACACTCATGACAACATTCTTCAGAAAGTTTCTTAGTCACTAAATGACATCTCTAGTTCCTTATAAATACTTTTTATGTCTTTCATGGTTGTAGGAATACATGGGAGCATGTCTGAGTCCATTGAATGTGCTGTGAGGAGTGTTCAGTGTTAGTCAAAGAGCATTCCACAGAGGGCGCCTGGGTGGCTCAGTTGGTTAAGCGACTGCCTTCGGCTCAGGTCATGATCCTGGAGTCCCGGGATCGAGTCCCACATCAGGCTCCCTGCTCAGCAGGGAGTCTGCTTCTCTCTCTGACCCTCCTCCCTTTCATGCTCTCTGTCTCTCATTCTCTCTCTCGCAAATAAATAAAAAATTAAAAAAAAAAAAATTAAAAAAAAAAAAAGCATTCCACAGAAAAAGGGACTTTTTTCTTTTGCAGTTTCAGACCACTTTCAGTTCTCATGTTCTTACTGCATTCACATGCTTTTTCACAAGATCGTTTCTTCATTCTGAGCATGAATAGTTTTCTGTCTTTTATTCAGATGACATGAAAATGGAGACTGAAATTAAGAGAAACAAGAAGAGTCTTCTAGACCAGCATGGACAGTACCCCGTATGGATGAACCAGAGACAGAGGAAAAGGCTGAAGGCAAAGCGAGAAAAAGGGAAGGGGAAAAGCAAAGTAAAGGCAGCAAAGGGTTTAGCCTGGTAGACTCTTAAAAACTTGAAAACTCCTACATGGGACAGGCCTTTGGTTAGAATGTGTACATGGATTTCAACTTCCACCAAACGAAAATTTGGTTTCCAGGTTTCACTTGGCCTTGTTCTTCAATTCAAACCCAACTTAACTCCTCAACTTTGTTTTGGGAGCTTGAATAAAATCTTTGATGAATGAAAGCTACACCGATACTTTAATTGGATGCTTCCCAGTGTGCAGGGATTCTCAGACATTGCAATTCTATCAAGTGTTACTGTGGTTGTAACTGTTGGGTCTTAGTAAAGATAAAAAAAAAAAGATCTACTGACAAATTTGAGGTGATTCAGGTTTAAAGAAAACTTTTATATAATTAAAATAGAATGTCAGTGGATCTTATAAGCACTACTTGTTTGGAGTTTTGATTTTAATTTAGAATAAAAGATATTTTGTCAAGATCTTGAAGAGCTTTTCTTTAATACATCCTTAAGGTTTTCTGGTAGTAGAGAAGACCACCTTCAATTAAGTTGTTAAAAAAAAACTTAAGTTTTTTTGGTAGAGTATTAACATCTACAAATTAGTATGCTCCATCTGTTTAGTAGATAGATCATCCTGGGAACTAGTTTAATGGTCTTCGGTTTTTATATTATGCAGCCTAATATAACACAGCATTCCGCAGAGTATGTTTCTCAGAAGCAGTTTTTCTGAATGCATGGTGAAAAATATATTTCATAGTCACATCAGTTTGGGAAATGCTACATACTTGAAAGATTCACAGAAAGTATTAGTATAGTATTTTAGAGATCTAACAGTAAAGAAAACTATTCAACTTTAACTCTTTCAAACTAGTGTTCTGAAGAATAGAATATACTGTCGGAAATGCTGGTAAATGAGATGATTTTCGTTAAGTCTGTCTTGCTACAGTTTACTAATTTCACTCTTGTTTAAATTTATTTTTAGTTAAGGAATTTAAACTTTGTATTCCCTCTGAAATTTCACGGTAGTCCTTTTAACCATCTTTATATGTTCACTGGAATAACATTTATTGAGTGCCTACTAAGTGCTAGGATCTTTTCCAGGTGCTCGGGACACGAAGAAGGAGACTGAGGAGGTTTTGACCTTGTGAGCATCTACTCAAAAGAGGCTGTTAGCTTCAGAGGAAAACCAAGTTAAAAGTGAAGTGGTTGGGGGTGGGAGGGATGGGGTGGCTGGGTGATAGACACTGGGGAGGGCATGCACTATGGTGAACGCTGTGAGTTGTGTAAGACTGTTGAATCACACACCTGTACCTCTGAAACAAATAATACATTATATGTTAAAAAAAGAAGAAGATAGCAGGAAGGGAAAAATGAAGGGGTGGATATCGGAGGGGGAGACGAACCCATGAGAGACAATGGACTCTGAGAAACAAACTGAGGGTTCTAGAGGGGAGGGGGGTGGGGGGATGGGTTAGCCTGGTGATGGGTATTAAAGAGGGCACGTTCTGCATGGAGCACTGGGTGTTATACGCAAACAATCATGGAACGCTACATCAAAAACTAATGATGTATGGTGATTAACATAACATAATAAAATTTAAAAAAAAAGTGAAATCTATTAGAGTAAAGTCACTTGGTCATCAAGACACAGATTTATGCCAGGCATGCGCTAGGCTGTGACACCATATAGAGAGAAATAGGAGGATGTGACCTAAGTCTTCGAGGAGATTTGAATCTATAAAATTTAATGCCAGTAAAACCTTAAAATTATTTTATATAATACTTTTCTCAATTTACTCAGTGATGAGTTCACCAAAAGGTTGGTGGATGATTTTTAAATACTTAAAATAGATTTTCTCAAAAGAAGCTAATAGAAAATGGTTGGAAAAAATAAATGTTATCCATGGCCTTTTTTGCCTTTTGGTATAGTTATGAACAAAAAATATTTTGTGAGGAAAAAGTAAATACATGCGTATCATGAAATAAAAAAGTTGCTAACATTATAGCCACTGGCAATATCAGCCTAAATATACTAGCTAAGTTATTTACTTGTTATGCCATCATAGGAATTGGCTGCATTAATGATGTTACACACTTGATGTTTACTTAAAATTTAGCAGTGTTGTCTGGTATTTTGTGGCTGCGTTTGCTTTAAGTTGAGATCAGAGGCCAGTGCCAGGGATATGTTCATGTGTTCTGTGGCTGATAACTTCTAATTTGACTCCAGTGGTAGCTTTGAGCTCTCATCCAGGGCCTCTTGATGTGAGGACGTTCACTGAAGTTTGTCTAGTGACGAAATGTGTCTATTCAGGATTTCACCTAAAATAACAAAACCACTGCTAAAAAAGTTATTTGGGAAACATGCTCAGATGTCCTATGGCCTCTCAAAAGGTGGCTCTGAAAGAGAAGTTGTCTTGCACGAGGGTGTGACTGGGGCCTCTAAAGCACCCTGAACTGTACGGCCAGCAAGATTCTTCCCACCTCCAAAGCTTGGCAGGAAATTGGGACTGACATTCCAAAATGAGTGAAGGGGTACAATCACTTCTTTGTTGCTTTATTCTTAAAAATCATACATTAAGTATACCGAAGTCCTTTCATCTTTTACATGATTAGCTTAGCTTTTTAAAATTTGTCAGTTATTTGGCTCATCTGTTCCAGAGAATTGCTGTAAAACCACCAGAGGGAGCTCAAGCTAAGCACCAAATAATTTTTGGAATTAAGAGTGGGCTAACTCACAGTAGGAATTGAATACAACATTTCATTTTTGTTTTTTTAGAAATTAAATGTAAAATTAGGGGACTCAAAATGGTTTTCACTTATTTGTTATCTGTTAAATAGGCCTTGGTCTGTATTATTTAATCCTAAACTCCCCAGTCAAAGTGTTAACTCACTTAATCCTCCCAGCAATACATTCTATGTTGGGTTCAATCCATTTTGCAGGCTCAGGATTTATAGACCTTTTCTCAAATTTCAGCCTAACCCACCCTGGGGCTCCCTGGGTACTCCTGTAGAATGGGCTGACCGAATTCTAAAGGTGTGGCCCGAGTCAGTGGTGCCAGAGCCCCCAGTCACAGTTATGTGAGCTTTAGTCGAAGCTCTAGGTAGAGTTAAGTAGTGGCTTTGAGCACCTCTTTTTTTTTTTTCCCCTAGTGTCACACTGATGTAGATATGATTGTTCCTCCCCAGTTCACATGCTGCCTAGAATAAAAATGCAGTGGAACATATTTGCTCATTAGGAAATGTGGGTATTTTCAAAATTTCTATTTCTATATCTGGGATACGATTTTTGGGAGTTGGAGAATTCAAAATAACTGGCTATAAATGCCTTGGTTTAAATACCTGAAATGGATTGTTTGTGACTGTGAGGGTTTGGGGTGTATAGTTTAGATCAGGGAAGCGGTGGCCACGACATAAGTGGGAGGAATCCAAAGAGATGTCAAGGAATTCGCAAATTTATAAATACTGCAATCGAGAAGCAGATGCTGGGCTGTTGATGTAGCTTGCTAGCTAACTTCCGATGCCACCTGGCAGAGTGATTGAAATTTGTGCTAGCCACAAGATAGGATCCTTTTTCCCTGAAATGCCACTTCAGCAGACACATAACTAATCTTACAAGGGACTGTTGGGTGGGGAGGGGTGTGCGTGGGGAGCTGTTAAGGACTCATGCCAGGTCAAAGGCCACTGCTGTTCCTGGGGCCCCGTGAGGCAGCAGGAGAGCCAGGGCCAGATTTGTGTCTACTTAAAAAAACCCTAAATTTCACGTAGTTGAATGCCAATGGTCATCACCTATTTTAGAGCAGGAGAAAAATACGTGATGTCAAATTAGACTCATTTGGCAGAATAATAGTAATGATAACAACCAACATTTAGGGAATGTGTTAAACGCTTTACCTATATTATTTAATTTAATCCTTAAAACGATGCTGTGGGATCAATACTCTTACCCCAATTTTCAGAAGAGGAAACAGCTTTGAAGAGGTAAGTATACCTGCCCAAAGTTATGCACCTATTAAGATGGGAGCAAGGCTGCCCTAGACTGTGGAATGAATGCCCCTGATGGGAGGCTTCAGAGAGACAGACTTTGATTCAATCTAAGGAAGAACCTTCTAACCGAAATTGAAAATGGAACAGGCAAACTTCAGGGCACTAGCCTGTCAAACTAATGGGGGATAGTCACTTGGTTGGAACGTAGCAGAATGGATTCAAACGTGGTACTTGGAAATCGGGTTGAAAGCTGTGGAAGTCCTTTTAGCTAAGAAATGCCTTGCAGGAAGTTGTCATGTCTGAGATGTGTTGCGCTTATTTCACTCTATAGTCTATTGGTGCTCCACGATTACAGACTTAACTTAGTTATCTTTTTGGTGGGAATGACAAAATCTGAAATCTTAAATTTGTTAATGTTGTTAAGTCTGGTATTTATTCCTCTAAGTTACACTTTAAAGTATGGAAAAACTTTTATAAACATCTGCTTTAAACAATGAATGGGGTAAAGTTCTTCACATTTCGATTTCAAGAATGGCATAGTTTTATAATACATTGTCTATAATATACAGAATGTATCTAATTTCCTAAAGCGATGACTTGTCTTGGCATTATGCTATCTTATGCAACACTTTCTCACTCTCACGTTGTGTCTTTATAGTTTTCAATATCGGCAAAACCTTTAAATAGTCTTAGTTGGGTGTTGTGTATCATTGTACGGTAACTGCTAGTACATATGGTATTTCTGATCCGTGTAATAAAGTACATTTGTCATGTATCTTGTGATCTGCATACCTTTCAGCTGTTACTTCATAAATCTGTTCCATCGGAGAACTGCTTTGTACAGCAATGGTTGAAGCTGCTTTTAATAAACTAATATTTTGTGTCTTTTATATGTAGTCAACAGGGAGTATTATAGACTTGTGCCTCTGTGGAGAAACATTCCACCAAACTTCTTTTCTCTTGACAATAATGGAAAAAAATAGCTTGGGAAAAGCACAGATGTTTAAGAACATATGTTGTTTGCTCCTAAGAGCCCGCTGAAGATCTCTAGTATTGCTCCAAGGTTTTTTTGTTTGTTTGTTTGTTTTGTATTTTAATGCTCTAGAGAAGAAATGGTTTGAGATATGTGATGGCGGGGTGGGGGGCAGAGTTACAAATTTAAGCGAGAGACCAATGTTGGGTGCTATTTGTCAAAATTCTAAAATGCCTCACCTTACGTGAAGAGGCGCTATTCTTGAGCA